CACATGTAGTTGTTAGAGAAGAACATTACTATTTCTATAGAGAACCTTACTATTTAAAGTTGCCTCAAAAGCAGAATCTGCATATAGACAATTGCTTCAGGACAGGAAATGTTTCATGGATATGAAACTTAGGCCTTCGTTTCCCTGTAATCCTGGATTTCTCAGGTGAAATTAACACAGATGCCATTCAACATTACCAAAACCCCCTCTGTATCTTAAATACTACTGCCCCCTACTGCATTTTTAATATAGATCATAAAAGTATATGTCATGTCAATTCAAACCAGACAAGTCACAGTTCTTGTCAGGTTCATGAGGATCATTCATGTCATTGTTCCAGCAGCCCACCTGTACAGCAAAGCTATAAAACAAAAAGTATTCAAAGTTTGGGGGAAGAAAATTGCAATGTGTCTGAACTGGGAGAACAAAAGAACCCCAAGTATTTGTGTAGTTGTATTCATTAAATCTCCCATCTTTCACCTCCTAACTACATATGAAAAACACAGCATCACAGTGATTGTAGAATTAAAAGCACCCTCCGGTCAGTTCTAGCTGCTCAAATTCAAGTTGAAAAAAAAAAAAAAACAAACCCAAAACCTTTAGGAAATGTGAAATACATAACTATTATTGATACTTTTGTATTACCTGAGGTTCACCAATCTCTAATGCTACTGACTGCTGAAGATGTCTACCAATATAAGAGACTACACAACCATATTTCTTTTCCAGGAACTGAGGTTTATGGATTATTGAACATGTCTCACATCCAGGATACATCTTGGAATAAATGGCATCAGAACAAACTAGGTGTTCAATCCTTTTAAGTCAGTTCCCCGGGAACTGATGTTTTGTTTCAGTATAAGAAAGAGATTTCTGCAGGACATGAGGCACTTCAGACTTAACTTAGTTCCTCCAACATTTACAAAGCATTCTGTGTACTTCTGCATCACTCCTTTCTCCTAGAGAATGGGCAGATTGAAGTAGAAAGACAGTGATGCATATTTGTCATTAAAATACATTCGATTAGGTCCGGTAAATAACTTTCCTTGACGCCATCATGCTGGGGAATGTTTTTCTTTCCCCTTCACTTCCACTGCCATGACCAAGCTTTGCCAGTCACGGCCAGGACACCACACCTGAGCGTTTGTTGAGGTACTCCTCTCTCTAGCGGGTGCTTCGTTAGTTGTATCGTGAAGCCGGAACCAAAGTCCGCATGAAACAGTTCCATTCATCTTTACAATCCTACGGCTGTTTCCCAGAAGTGAAATAAATACTCATTTCGATGGCAAAGAAAGTCCCTGGCACGCAGAATTTTAACCCAGGCAGCAGTGTATCCCAGGTGGGAAGCTATGATTTTAGATACTGTTACCAATGTTTGAATTCCAGACTTCCCAGGTATTTCCAGACAAAGTTAGATGTCTGCTTTCTAAAAATTTCCATGAGAAATTGATGAAGTAGTTACAGCCTCAAGATCACCGAGTTTTCATTAAAAATCCATGGCCTTTCTAAGCCCTCATGTTTAAAATGGAAGAATTAAATGAACACAAACAAAAAGCTCAAAAGCCATTGACCACAAGAAAATCCCATTTTCTTTTGTTACGAATTTGGAATTTGTAAACAAGCTTTACAATTACATGAAGTTGAGGGGAAGAAGAAAGGTAGAGTAGTTTGATTTTTTAATGTTTGAGTGACTATACTAGCATATTCCAAAGCATTGTATAAACATTGAGTAAATTTAATGTATCCCTGGAATTAGCAGAAAGCAGGAAAAAGTAAAACTGATGGTCAAGTTCTGCTCAAGGCAATGCAGCAAATTACCAGAAAGACAGGATTACAACTATGATGAAAATTGCTAGAAGCAACATTTTGCATTCTCTCTCCCCTAAGCTTTGATTACACACAAAAATCAAGGATTGCATTGATTTGGTTTTGTTGTTCAAAATAGGTCTGTTTTGTCTTGATAGCTGTCAGATTGATATCCTCAGAGGGTACAGCTGTCCCTTTATATTTACCACTTTGGGGATGATGGATAAAACCAGTTTATCTTGGAAGTCTGTGTCTTTGGACATCCACTGCATTAGTTACCTCCATATTCATGTTTGACAGAGTAGCTTGCTGTCAAGGTATTAGGTGAGGCAGAATGAGAAACATAAGTAGCTCTGTATAAAGAAAAGATCTCTTAAGCACAATCACAGAGGCTCAACCATCTTCCTTGCTTTGCAGAAAGTGGGAAGTTCAACAGTGGTTGTGAAGCCTGGGTAAGAAAGATTAAGTGGCTTTAACATTTTCCACTGAGGCAGCCAGTCTTTGGTGCATGTGATAAGAATGCCGTTGAAGTGTAACAGATAGAAAAATTATAAGTTGTTCTTAGTTCTCTTAACACGTATCAAGAGACATTCAAGATGCAGTCAGATATTGTTGAAGGATTGTGGGGAGGGTGGTTTATGGTTTGGGGTTTTTAGCTGCTTTTTAGTTCAGTTGGCAAAGACTAGCAAAATCAAGTGGTTTTCACTAGTAAGGCTCAATGCCGTGCACACAAATGCAAGATGTACACACAATGTCAGATGGCCCTGTTTTTCAACAGCCTCGATTTTTAAGTTGTTCAAGTCACAGTAGTCAAACTCAGGCTTATATATCAAGTGCATAACATGTGACTTCCTAGTCATTGCATAAATAGGGCTGTTAATCATCAGTCAGTAAGAGAAAGTTTCTACTTGGATTGCTTTGTCAAAGTCATCAAAATTTGCATTTTTTAATTTACTAAAGCGATTCAGTTTTCAAATTTCATTAGGGACTTCGTTATTGCGGTTCATCTTATTTTAGCTTACTGTACTTTTCCACTTTTTCTAGTTTCTGAGCCTTTCCCCACCCCATATTTAATGTTTATACATTCTTTCTACAAAAGGAGACAGCTCACTTCACTATTTTGCATTGCAAAATTTGTTTTCCACCACATTAAAAAAATAATTTTAGAACTGGGCCAAGTGTTTATATATCCAGGTAACACAAGTACAAAGGTTCATTTGTTCACTAGCCACTTGGTTAGAGTTTACAAGGTTATAGAAATATTTTTTTATATGTAATGTGTCTTTCCTGTACCCTAACATTTAAAATGACCTATGGCTTTCCAGATTTTCAGCAGTAGCTCTTTGACAGCCCTGGTAACGTGCTATGCAATCTTTGGTTAAAACCTAAATTTAAGAATTTTCTCCAGTACACAGAGATTGCTCTATAAATAACAGATTATTTTCCATGTTTGCTAGCTGAGAGTGACACTGATCCACATCAAGCACCTTTAAATGGTGAGAAAGTGCAAGCGATACTGTAAGTGGTAAGATGTGCTTTAAGTGGTAACAAACTGAATAGAACCTGCAAAAGTGCTAGAAGTGATAGTATGACACCACTATTGCTTCCAAAGCTGCTGGGGTGGGAGGAATAACTTAGACTTCAACTATTTGATAACTAATCCCTAAAACCTGAAATGAAGGTACCTTGCCAAGCTATTTCACCCAAAACTAGTGATCACCTCTTACATGAGAAGGAAAAGAGTTCAGGATTGGGATATTCTCAGATGTTGCATGGTTTAGAACAAGAAGTTGGCAAGCCACTTCAATATAGGCAAACCATTAAGATAAACTTAACATTAATATTTTGAGTAAGACCTTGCATATTAATTTCTTGGATTTCCTGGGCTTATATTACATTTTACTTTTGCCTGAAGAAAGCTGATTTGGGAACTAAACATTCCACTTCACTCTCATTTCTTGCTTTAAATGACCAGAAAATATATTAGTCTTAAAACAAAGGAAACTATTAAGCTAGAACTTCAGAGGAAAACTGTAATTCAAGCAAGAGAGAAAGTCAACATAATTTCTCAAAACTAATCCATCATTAAAGTAAGAATTTAAGATAGCACAGCAAAATAGCATCAGGCAACATGCAACTTTAACTTTGTTATTTGAAAGATGCACAACTCAAGCTAGCACCAGTGTTGCATCAATATTCTAGTGTTACCCAGGACACCAGAGTTTCACATAGCTTGGCATCACTCTAGCCAGGCCTCATTATCATTCTGTCCCCCCGTTCTGCACTCTCAGGCTTCCCAGCTCCTTCCAAGAAGTGGCATAGTGCTTTAGTGCAGGACTTTCCTCATTTTAGTAGGGAGCTGGAGGAAGGCCACATCCCCCTTTCTCCTACAATCATATGGGGGTCAATGAACCTTGAGGAAGGCATGAACAAGAACTTTACTGGGACAAGATGTCCAATTAATAGGGATACACAGCAGAGAGGAGCAGCAGTCACTAACACTTACCTTGTATTACAATCTTTATCACGTTAAAAAAAAAAACCCTACAAGGCAAGTTTCAGCCTTGTATTTTTTTCTTTTTTCTCAAGAGCTACAAGCAGTCATTTGTACTATAGGTTAGGGAAGCACCGAGGCCAGCCACCAGAGGACTTATGCTTGCACAACAGGCTTTTAGGTTACTTTGACAAGGGAGATAATTTCCAGGGGTTTTTGCCCTACAGAATCATTGTCTACCGTTGAAGTTTCTTCAGAGCCACAATGCACTATTTTTAATTGCAAAAGATTGTTTCATACAACCATGAAACTGTATGGTCAGCATGCATGGGTTTGTGGATAGTTTGGAAGCCAACAGTATGAAGGCATCTGCAAGCATTTAGGACACCTGAGGACTGAGGGGCTAATTTCAAAGTAATTACCTGAATAGAAGAATGAGGCATCCCAAGAACATTTTTTTTTGTTCCATAGAAGATGAGCAAGAAAGAAGCTAACAAAAGAAATTGTAATTTATAAAAATGTGGGACTGAGAACTCAGAGAACTCCAAATGTACCACAAGACAGTAGGTACATTTGGAAGATGAACCAAAGAAGCAATTACTGTGAAAACGTGAGATACCAAGAATCCATGGGGAAGAACAAGAAGAATTTGGCATTCCATCTGAGCAGTGAGACATGTTATTCACAACACGAGACAAGCTGTATTAGATCAACTTTATTATATTATCAAAGTTTGACAATAAAATATTCAAAATCTATTGAACACATTCATACACAAAAAGAGCATATAAAATGCTAGGTCTCAGAATATGTTCCATACAAAATACTGTTAAGTAGAGCAGCAAAGTCATTGCCAAACATTCCCTGAATTTAAGAGGGCCTTGAACACACTGTGCTCCAAGAACTACCTTAATACCAAACATTCCTTCCTTTGGTCTGCAAGTCCTTTGCAATTATTGCTAGTTATTGAAGCCTTCTGTTTTTAAACAGAATCACATAGTGACTCTGAACCTCTTCAGAAGTATTACAATGACAGCTGAAAGCTTCTTCAGCATTTTCTATACATTTTGTCAAAAGTAAGAAACACATTTGGTCCTCAAGACTGTTTTTGGTTTCTGAAAATATCCTGGAAGAATAAAACCAAGTTATGGAAAGAGAGACAGGATCAATATGTATCAGGTATAACAAAGATATGTCAGTGAATTCAAACATTTCAACTGTGCAGTGTGGCAAAGCACCTGAGTTACTCCTCTTACAGAAGTGCCACATTCTCCTCTCAGATTTATTTCTTCAGACCTCTCTCCCCACAAGAATCTAGAATCCTCAAGTGCACATGGCTCTCGCAGGCCTGTAACAGTAATGCTAAATCCTCTTGCCTTGCAGAGGAATACGCTGTAGTGAATAAGCACTTCGACATGCTGAATGAAGTGGTTCAGTTTCAACAACTAGAATAATGTCGTTTACTTGCTGCATTCACTTTTCAATGAGAACTCCATCCTAATATGCAAGGGGCTGAAAATGAAAGGGCTGAAGATGATTTGGTAGGAAAAAAAAAATCCAAACCACAACTTCCAGACATTAAATAGACCTATAGCCTGCAGAACCATCACATCTAATCAGAATCTCACCAGAAGCACCGTACTTGCTCTAGCACAGTACTTAGAACTCAGGTACATGCATTCTTGCACAACAAGGGTTTATAGTGACAAAACAAAAAGCAGCCCTGAAAAACTTTCAGCTTCATTTTACCAGGTTAACTAAACACAAGTTTATTTAAAGAGACACACTCTAGAGGTTGTCTACTAATGGAAAGCTGACTTACAAATCTTTAGGTTAGAAGATAGTCAACTGATCTCAGAAACAAAGTACTAGGTTTCCAAAATTAGAGATTTTTTTTCTTTCTCCTTTTGGGGCACAAAAATAGTATTAAAAGTAGTAAATGAAAAAATAATTTAAAAAAGAAAGAGCATATTTGAGTCATGTATTTTGGAACTTCAAGTCAGAAAAAGCCCTGAAGCTAGTCTTGGTATGAGTCTGAAAATGCCACCAATTAATGGGTAAGGATCTAAATGAAGCTTAGAAACATTCTCCAGATCAGGTTAAGAACTGTTTTCCTATGTTATTTTCTCATTTTTTTCAGCCCTTGATGCCCATGTTGGTATCCTGCAATACAGCCTCCAGCCCTCATTCCATTGCTTATTAACAGACATTCTACTTCAGCAAGAAATATGGATTATGATTAACTGGTTTCTGTAATTTCTTTCTGTTATAAACCAGTAACATAACAATTTATTCAAAAATTGAGTCAGACCACAGGAAGAGCTTTATCATCTTTGAGCAGTCTTGGAACACAAGCCTGAAGCTTATCCAGCTGACAGCCCTGCATAAACCTTGACTAAAGGACTTTTTGTGGGTTTTTTTTGTTGTTTTTAGTTCGGGGGCCTGGAGGGGTTTTTTTTCATTCCAACAGTTACCAATTACAAGTGGCTTGAGGCAACTCAGTATTTAACTCTGGAAAAGTGTAGGCAATATTGCTGCTGAACTGTAGGTTCCAGGGCAACCCAGAACAAGACAAATGTACCGTTTTAAAAATCGGAAAAATGTGTACTCACCCTCAACAAAAGTAATAGGGGAAAAAGAGGAGGAGAATGAAGCTACATAAGGAAGTTAAAACCTAAAGAAGATATTTAGCTTATCCATGACCCTAGATCAAGCTGTTCTGGATTTACTAGCCATTTCTGAATTAAAACTTAAAACCTTAAGCCTACCTCCTGTTCCAAAATGTTTGCATTCTACAGTAACATCAGTTCAAGCCTGTAATTTCAACACACCTTACTGATATATCTAATGCCAACAAACATTTTATGCATGCTACCAAATCAGTTAAAAACTTTACCCTTTAGACAACATCAGTTTCTTAAGTAATAAATCCTCAATGGTTCTGATGAGTTTCCGAAACTCTTAAAACATTTTTCTTGGAGGACCTAGCATTTTGAAAGCATTCAAAACTCTGTTTTCAGAAAACTAAGTGCAATCTAACTGGGTGACTTGTTTTAAAGCAAGCAAACGCAAATCTTCAAGTGAAACTATTTCTCCAGTGGGACTTTGGTAGTCAAGGCTGCAAATATGATGGCCTTTAGACTATCATTTCTGTGGAGTTCAGAGTTGAATTTTTAAAACATTGAGTAAAACAATACTGTAGGAATTTAAGAGTTGCATGGTCAGCAATTTATAGAAACATTTAAGGAACAGTGTATCCCAGCTTCTTGAAACAGCAATAATGAAATTTGTAATCTAAGGGTAATGAATTTTAGTCTTAAAATATAAAGTTCCTTTTCAGCTGAATGCAGTGTTGCTCCAATCACTACTTGGTCAGTAACTGGCTCACAGCCTAAGTATTTCACTGAGAACAAGCTTTATACTTTACACTCTATTATGCTGGCTTCCATTCCCCACTCCATTTCAGGAAGTTCACTTTTCTTTTTGAATTAATGCCCACCATCCATTATCATTTCCCTTACAGAAGATAATTTTTCACCCAGAAATGCAATTCTGCACTGTATAGATTGTTTGCCAATATTAGATTAGCTTTAATTTATGTACTACTCAGCACAGCTATGGTTATTGCAAGCACCAACCAATGTTTAGCTTCTTCCCCTCATTGATAAATAACACACAAGCTGAGAATTCCTCAGCCTCCAGATTGTACGTAATCAGGTTCTAGAAGTTGATGAGCAAACAATTTCTTCTTCTTCTTCTAACAAAAGCCCAAAAAGGTAGGTACAAATAAGAAGCTTCAAGTAATTCACACATCTATCTTTTCCCCCAAAAGCTGTAATAAAAGAAAGGCTGGATTATAACAAACGTAGTACAGTACCAGGCAGACCTCTTCCCTATCTTGCCTAGTAGATATGCACATTTACAAATTAAGGTACTGGGAACTGTGGACCAAAATATGCAAGACGCCTTAAAAAGTTTACTGTGTTTCCCAAATTAATCATTCCCATGTTTTATGGGCACCTGAAATTGCCATCCTTTCTAGCCCTCCCACTCCAAACCCTGCAAAGACCACACAAAGGAACTCAGGTATCTATGTTTCTATGTAGCATGTGCAAGGGGCTGCATAATCTCCAAATAAATGTCTGTGTGAATATTGGACACAACACCAGAGGCACCAAAATGCATATTTGACCAAATTTGCAGAATGTGAAGATACCTTGAAGCATCATAAACACAAATCGGAGACAAACGATCATTTAGGACATCAAACAATTTCTTGAACACAGCCTTAAAAAAAAATAAATAATCTAAATATCAAGGGATTAAAAGGCATTTTCCCATATTTAAGGAAAGGCATCACGGGTGAGGAAAATAACCGTCAACACAAGGTATCACAAATCAAAAAGCAGCTTTTTCACATAGGAGATAGTAGTATCATTGGATAGCATTTGAATATGCTCATTTCCTGAAAGCTCAAATATCACCACTTCCTGCTTTTGCATGTCCACCCACTTCTGACACTGCAAGGCACTCTGCAAGTTTACTGTACCATCCCCATCACTGTAAAGAATCTTGGGTTCTTTGTCAGGAAAGCTTTCATAATGGAAGGAATCAGGTGTTTCCACACCAGTGCCATAAAGACAGTGTATACGCACACCAGGTGGTGTCATCTGGTAGACCAGGGGTTCAGTGTCTTGTCTCATGAGCCAGCCATCTTCAAAATTGATGTCCCTGTAGAATTTTCGGTAATCCTGAAGAGTGTAGTTAGCTGTAGGTGTGCTTACAAAGACTTTATCTGGAGGCCATGTGTAGTTGTAGGGGAGCATCCAATTTGTGGAAACGGCTGATCTCTGCTGGTCTCTAATCTTGAGTGAGCTGATAACAGGTATTCTATTATTGTCACCTTAAAAAAAAGTGTAATTTCATTACACACAAAGCAAAGCATGAATCTCAACCAACCGCAATTAATACCACTCACAATGATAACAGGAATAAAAATATTATTCCCTTTGCTTACAGTGACAATTTGAGAAATTTTTCATCATTTATGATTGTCTTGATGATTAACTTGTGCAAACTAACTTCTGATAACTTACAAATTTAAATACAAGTTACTGAATGGATGACAGACAGACCAAGAACACTGCTCCTTTCCAGTGAGTTCCTTTTTAAAGGAGAAAATAGTTCCTATATGACCAAAGTAAGAAATCAGCTTTTATTAGGCATTATTAGGAAGTGTGTTTTACAGTGATTTTTGTACCTCAATCATGTTTTTCTGAAACAGATAAATGCTACTATCCAGACACATGCAAGAACTCATGAAGAGACTTTATAGGCTCAACAAAATGTTTAAAGTTTTGCACATTCAAAATACGCAGAGTAGCAGTATTTCATTCAGTATAGTTATAAAGGTTACTATATGGTTTGTTTACTATTTGGCCTAGTGTTTTACCAGTTTATGCACTCCCTTCATAACAAAGCCTACCAGAACATGCCTACAATTGAAAGTAAATAGCAGACTCTTAATAGTTACCTAAAAAGATAACTGTCATAAAAGGAAACAGAAGCCAAACAAGTATTACTGTCTCTGCTTATGCTATCAAGAAAGAATGCTGCACTCAATGACCAAGTCATTCCTTGCATAGTACTTCAACAAAAGAAGAGTTAGAGCTTGTTAGCTTCTGGTGGGAACCACAGAATGTTGCCAGTATCAGTATCTTTCCTTCCAGTCAGCATTTCAAGACTGCTTAAATATGTGTGTTGCTCAGAACACAGGTTTTCTCTAATGTAGCACTAATATTTTCTTGCAACTCTAACTAAACTACATCTTTTCTGTGGAGGGGACACACAAAAAATGGTGAACAACACACATGGATGGATGGACAGACAAACAAAACCAACAATTCTAAGACGACCAGTTGATAACTACTATATGTGGGAAATGGTTTCAGCTGGTCAAGCTTTTCCTAGGCATTTTCTTAATAATATAAATCTAGACAGTTTAAGACCTTTATTGATAATAAGCTCTAGTTATCTGATACCCAATAAACCATAAAATTGTTATATTTTACCAAATTAAGACTTACTCTTATTACAGAACTAAACATTTCAAGAGTTTTTGTAGACATCAAGTCCATTTGTTTTTTAGTAGTTTGTTCCAAAGATGGCTCAAACTACCACATGACTGACAAAGTTATAATTTATATGTATCTTTCTTCATATTTTAACCATTGTTCTTGCATAAGTGGCAGATACAGTGATTACTAGAAATGAATTGGGGGGG